TGGGGCCCCGGGGTGGGGGGGGAGATGCAACAGGGGTACAGGCGGGGGTCCAGCAGTGGCTGTCACCCTTCTCTAAACAGGAGGGGCTGTGCCTCAACCTGCGAAGCCTGCCCTGGTTTGGCCAAGCCGACCCCGACACCTTCTTCCCCCGGTGCTACCGGCTGGGGACTGTGGATGAGTGGCAAGCCTTCATCGGTGAGCTTGGGTCAGCGCAACCCCCTGGGGTTGTCACCCTCCTGTTCCCCCTGCAGCGCTCCCAGTGCCACCCCTGTGTCCTGTTTGGGACCGGGCAGGGATGATGTCGACCCCCCCCTCCCCTGCAGAGGATTTCCGCCTGACGGCAGCTCGCAGCCTGCTCAAAGTGGCCCTGGAGAGGGCTAGGGATGGGCTGGCAGGGACAGAGCAGCGCCCAAAATCTGATGAGGGGCAAGGTGAGTGTGAGGAGTTTGGCCTGGGAGGCAGGGGACAGGGAGTTCGGGGTCAGGGACACACCTGGGGGCTAAGCCACTGCTCAGGGCTGTGGCTTGGGACCCCCTGCTCCCTTCTGCCAGCCCACACTGTGGGTGTTCTGTCCATCCCCGTGCACCCAAAGCCACGCATCCCTGGGGGAGGCTCTGTACCGTGGCCCTAAGGGTGGCACAGCAGGTCCCCAAGAGCCATGTCCCTCACCCCATGCCATCTGCAGCGGGGCCAGGGCCCCCCTTGCCCCCCCATCTGCTGGAGGAGGCCCTCCAGGTCTGCAGGCAGCACCTGAGCAGCCTGGGGCACCAGGACATCGACAGGGACCCCCTGTCCCCACACATGATGGGCACCGACTGGGACCGCTTCCTGCAGGACTACTACCGCGTGGTGCAGTGAGTGCCAAGTGGGATGGGGGGGGACACCACGGCAGGGATGGATGGTGTTGACCCCCACAACGTCCCCCCTGCAGCGAGGGGGCCGGGCTGGCACTGAGCGGGGCACAGCGGGAGCAGTGTCGGGCCCTGCTGCAGCACCTGGCCGGGCAGCTGCCCCAGCTCGGCATGGAGGGTGACCGCAACATCTGGATCCTCAAACCTGGTGCCAAATCCCGTGGCAGGGGTAAGGCCGGGGGGAGCTGGGAGGGGAGGGGCACAGGCTCTCCACCAAGGAGGGGTCCCACCATCACTGTGTTCCCCCAGGCATCGTCTGTGCAGCACGGCTGGACAAGGTGCTGCGTCTGGTGGGGGGCTGCGCAGCGCCCTCGGCACGGGTGGGCGAGTGGGTGGTGCAGAAGTACGTGGAGCGGCCGCTGCTCATCTTCGGTACCAAATTTGACATCCGTCAATGGTTCCTGGTGACAGACTGGAACCCGCTGACCGTCTGGTTTTACCGAGAGAGCTACCTGCGCTTCTGCTCCCGGCCCTTCTCCCTGCGCCGCCTGGACCCGCG